TGATAGAGTGAAACTGATAAAATATCGAGAAATCTGGACAGAATCTTTTTGTAATACATTATCAAAAATTATCTGAAATACATCATCAGAGAGCACGTGCGAAAAAAATAATTTCCGCTCGATATTTTTTCTCGGTATTTTTCATCGACAAAAAACCGAAATATTAAAAATCACAACTTACCATCAATTGCTCGGCTAAACAAAGCTAAACTTACCGAAGTCGATAACCAAGTAAGGATTTCCTACAGAAATAATTTGCCACTCTCGTTTAGCAGTGTAGTGGTCGAACTTGACGTAGGTTAAAACGGATTCGTTTTGCCGGTATCTTCCCGTTAAATAAAGTAGATTTAACACTTGCCAGGAGTAATTAGAAATCTAGCCATTTTGCTCATAGCTTCGAAAATGCAACCAGCGTTATACAGTAAAGCGACAGAAACTTTAGCGAAATATTCACGCGCGACAGTCGTGACAACCTCAGTAAATCTAACAAATGAAACAAGATACTGAGAGAAAAAAAGGGCTTCATTGATTGTTTCCGGCAGGCGGTGACAAGTAGTTTACGAGATTAGAAGACCTCCTGGTCAGAATTTTTTTTGTAGCCTAAGCCCGTCATGGATAACGAAGCTGAATGTCACGTGACAGACATACGAAATTTAACGTGACCTTATTTGGACGTAACCAGAACTGATCAGAAAAGGTGATGCTTGTGACGTATAAAAATATGGAAATTATAAAAGAAAAAGCGTCCTTTGTTGTTGTATTACACGTAATAAATCAAACGAGCTTGCAAGAACTTTTTTAAAACTGAGTTTTATTTAGGCTAAAGCAAGCTTCAGCATGCGTGTTTGAAAGACGGATGACGTGATGTCAGAGATAGAACTGGCCTTCACCCAGGTTGATTTTACGGATTAAATAACCTTGCCTCGGGGCAAAACCATTAGCATTCGAAACATGACCCCTAACTTTGTTGCGTCAAGTTATCTTATTTGACTCTGAAGCAAAAGTTCAAATATTAAAGACTATGTAGCTTTATGCAGTTGCGTCCAATAGGTGGTCATCATTTTTGCGGAGGTGTTTGGAAAAAGAACAAACAGACACGCGGGAGTTTATTGTGGTCACGCAATTGAGTGGGATCAAACATGCGTGGACAGAATACGAAATAAGCTGCGAAACAGCGCGGCGTATGCGTTCACAGCATACAGGTGATACCTATTGTAGGTCAAAACGATTTTCATTGAACTGGACAACAAAATGGCCAATTGTTTGCAGGTAGACGATGGAAGCGAGGCGATCCCCATGGCTAGTTGGGAAGCTGAGGCCATTCATGACTATGGCAAAGCGTACGCACGTAAATATTCCGATTTTAGAGACGATCAAGCGACGGTTTGGACGAGCATGTACGAGAAAAATCTCGGTCGGAAAGTCAGTAGACTACCTCCATGGGAAGTTTCTCAAACTGGGCGAAAAGAGAGCTCGGAAAGACACTTTGGAGACCCGGACAAGAGGGATTTTGCTTCGATCCATTTAGAAAGGGCTGCTCACTCTGGTGTGCTTGGACAGAAAAAACGCATATCAGTTATATCGTATCAAGAGAGCGGAATAGTTTTTTTCTTAGTCAGTATTTAGAAACGATCAGTAATTAATCACACACCTACACCGGATGGGGAGTTCAGCCCATCATGCCATGATGCAGTGATAAATTGGTCTCAATCTCAATACATTTTACCATGGAATAATGGATTTGGAAATGGTTGTCCGTCATACACGAGTGTTTTATCTAAAAATGAACTCATGTCTTTAGAATAACATGCAATGCATCCGTTTGTCCGAAGACTGCTTAAAAACTTTTTCTTTAGTATATAATCTGTTACATGCTGATTATAAGCTCAGTGTTTTTTAATATTTTTCTCGAAGTTTTAGGTTTTAGGTACAACTTGTATTGGGAATTGATTTAAGTGTAACATATTTCACGATGATGTTCTTTCTAAGTCGTGAACCTCAATCCATTTTCATAGACTGCAAAACGCAGTCGGTTTTTTTTCTCAAAATCTGTTTAGCGTAGCCTCAGCTCCTCCCCAGGCAATGATTACCGCTGACCGTAAGACCCCGTCCTCTCTCCATTCTCCCACTCGTTCTCCAATGAAAGGTGAGAAGTGTATTGTTCGGTGGTTCTACGGATCCGCCCAGCCATCCGGGTGGTGTCGCCAATTTATAGCGCAAGAACAATGGAAAAGGTGTCAGCCAATGAGAAAAGGCATGACATCATCGCTAAAATAGTGAGGCGAAGAGTAGCTTCATAGTCTCATGCGCGCGCCTCACAGGCCCGTATTTTTAGCGTCGGACTCCCCAGTCTCGCTCTCCGTTTTCAGCCTCGCTTGGCTGTTGACGCGTACTTGAATACGCAAAAATACGGACTGTTTTGCAATCTAGCATTTTAATTGCTTTTGTACAATTCATTTTTGTCGATTTCTGACAAAGAAAAAGTTATTTTAGGACAGCTTCGTGAGCACGTTAAAACGAAAAGAAATTCTTTAATTCATTTATATCGGTCATATGAACATGATAACTTAAACAAGGGTCAAGTTGACGCCTTTTGCAAGTTCACCCAAGGGCAATCCGCGTCTCACAAATCTTGTCCAATTTTGATTTATTTTGCCTATACAATGATTATTTGGCGGTTCCGTTTTGTGTTCTTTCGCAACTTAAGCGATTATTTGGTTGTTTACTGACTGGCATGAGAACATGAAATAACTTCACTCCACTGCACAGTTTTGTGTGGTTCCATGTGAGGTGGCTTGTCTTTGGCAGTATCTCCAATTAACTCTGAAGCATTTTCAGCATTATTTTTCATTCAGCCAGTGTTTTCTGATAGGCGAAGACTCCCTTGCACTTGGAAACAGTTTTGAAGCCTGTCATCATGTAGATAGAAACCATTCTTTACATCGCCTGATCACCATTTTCTCGCTCTAAACTGTGCTCCGTTTCTGTATCTGGCCCTAAGGACAACCAGCTGAAAACTTTTTTAAGGACCAGTAGTTCCACTGTCATTACCACGAGTAGGGCGCAATGTGTTTAAATCCTCCGTCATCTCGATCACCTTTACGGTTAAATCTTTCCTGAAGTACACCGGCTGCTTCGGTTTGCACCGGCCCCTTCCCTGGATAAACAAGAAATCGTGTCAGCACTGTCATGAAAGGCTGCACTTTGCCGGCTACATACTTACATGAACACATGAACATGAACACAAGTGCCTCGCGCGAATGGATCGTAAGTAGAGTGCGATTTGGCTTTAGTCATAACTCTTTCTATCGGTTGGGTGTCCACAGTTTCCTAGCAACAAAGTCGCAACGGCGTCCCAATACGCTCTTCTCACGTATGGTAATATGCCCGTCTAACCTCGTTTTTGAGTAAAAAATCCTTTGAAATGCTAATCAGACGACGTTTTCGTATTTGAATTTCAAAAGAATTTTTACCCGTAAACGAGGTTAGACGGGCATATTACCATATGTGAGAAGAGCGTATTGACCTCAGCAGCGTGAAGTCATCGTAAGCAGAGTGTGATTTAGCCTGCGAAGCGCAGACGTATTTCCGGTCGTCGCTTCTCTCCCTCCGAAAATTACTTTTCAGAGGGAGAGAAGCGACGACCGGAAATACGTCTGTGCTTTGCAGGCTAAGTGTGATTTGGCTTTACTATCGGTTTGGTACCCGCAGTTGCCTAGCAACAAAGTCGCTACGCGTCCCAATTGACGTCCCCAGTGTGACGGCAAGGAACATTTTAGGGACCAGGCAACAGTTCCACAGGTTAGAACCGGTTTGCCATCGATGACAAACACCTTGATTATTGTCCGTGAAAAAATGCTTTACAATCGTTGTATCACGACCACCCAAACTATAAACAAAAGAGAAGAACAGACGCAATAATGGTGAAACATTGAGGCAATTTGGGCCAGTATTTTCAAAAAAAAGCGAAAATCAAGATACACTGAGCAATTTTTAGTGCGTCTCACTTCGCAGACAAGTTTGCTTTTGAATGTGTCGCGCGATGTTTCTCTAAAGAGCGTTTCAGTTTGGCTTTTTAATTACCGTCGAAACCTTGTCTTTTTCCCCTGAAATCTGCACTGGAATTACACTGTGGAAAACCCAAATTTATTAGTTTGCTGGCTTCCCCGCCGATATATAGATCAAAGTGCGCAAAGTTTCAGCTTTGTACTACGGACCGAAGTATAATAAAATCATGAAGCGACGCACTGACATATTTGTGCTTTAAATTTTTTTTTTCTAAATCCGGAGCCCGAAATAATGCGTTTCAATACACTTTTAAAAATAACACCATACGATTCGCATAAAAGAAGAAGAAGAACAGAAAGAACAACGTATGGACCTCCACGACGATATTCGCTGTAGGTCAGCCATCCAGTTCTTAACCCCGACCGACAGGGCTTAACCTGAGTGCCGCTACCAAACCGAGTTTCGCGAGGGTTATTGCTAGTATTTCTAGTATAAGCGATAATTGTGAGCGAAAGGGCCCATAAATTATTAACTTGTCTGAGTAATTGGTTCGCTCGGTTTTGAAGTTTTTAACAAATCAACAATAGTCGAGGCGATCCCTAACTCCACCTCCCTCCAAGTAGTGTGCCATATTCATGACATTAAGTCGTGATCAAGAAGACGCTCCTATTCTTTGCTTTGACGTTTTGAACCTGAAACTATCCGAGTTTCAAGGGCCTTAAGCATTGAGAGAAATAGGTGACGATCTGAAGATGCGACTCGTATATTCCCTGAGTTTTGACAGGAGCCGAATCCTGGGACTGATAAAGAAACTGAAAGTCACGTGACAGACATGCGAAATTTAACGTGACCTTATTTGGACGTAATCAGAACTGATCAGAAAAGGTGATGCTTATGACGTAGAAAAATATGGAAATTATAAAAGAAAAAGCGTCCTTTGTTGTTGTATTACGCCTAATAAAACAAAACGAGCTTGCAAGAACTCTTTTAAAACTGAGTTTTATTTAGGAAGCAAGCTTCGGCATGCGTGTTTTGAAAGACGGATGACGTGATGTCAGAGATAGAACTGGCCTTCATCCAGGTTGATTTTATGGATTAAATAACCTTGCCTCGGGGCAAAACCCATTAGCATTCGAAACATGACCCCTAACTTTGTTTCGTCAAGTTATCATATTGGACTCTGAAGCAAAAGTTCAAATATTAAAGACTATGTAGTTTTATGCAGTTGCGTCCAATAGGTGGTCATCATTTTTGCGGAGGTGTTTGGAAAAAGAACAAACAGACACGCGGGAGTTTATTGTGGTCACGCAATTGAGTGGGATCAAACATAGCGTGGATAGAATACGAAATAAGGTACCTTGTGCTACAGCGAAAAGTACCGCGTATGCGTACACAACATACAGGTGATATCTATTGTAGGTCAAAACGATTTTCCTTGAACTGGACAACAACATGGCCAATTGTTTGCAGGTAGACGATGGAAGCGAGGCGATCCCCATGGCTAGTTGGGAAGCTGAGGCCATTCATGACTACGGCAAAGCGTACGCGCGTAAATACTCCGATTTTAGAGACGATCAAGCGACGGTTTGGACGAGCATGTACGAGAAAAATCTCGGTCGGAAAGTCAGTAGACTACCTCCGTGGGAAGTTTCTCAAACTGGGCGAAAAGAGAGCTCGGAAAGACACTTTGGAGACCCGGACAAGAGGGATTTTGCTTCGATCCATTTAGAAAGGGCTGCTCACTCTGGTGTGCTTGGACAGAAAAAACGCATCCCTCGTGCGAAGAAAAAAGAGAAAAAATCGAGGAATGGTTCGGATTCGAGCAAAGATAGAGAAGTGGAGCAGAAAATCAAGGATGGAAATGCGGGGACATCATCTTTGGGAGAACAGGATGATGCAATGAAAGCACAATAAGGTTGATTCAAACAGTTATTTTTAATAATTCCTACTTGCTTTCTTGCTGCCAGTGCGGAAATCAATGCTGCAGCATTTGAATTTTTAATGAAACTGTTTCAAGTCTTTTCAGAGGAGTTTCCTCTAAAGTGATAAACTAATTGTACATAAATGTTGCGTTTTTATCCCAGGTTCGATACGTAAACAAACGAGAATATTGTCCTGGGATACCGCCGTTTTAGTTGAGAGAAAATGACAGTCAATGCGACTCTTCTTTGTGCGAAATAAAATAGATGCAGTTCTGTTAGTGAAATCTAGTTCATTCATTTTATGGTGCTCTGATTTCTGAATCTACAATAAAATTTTACTGCATGGTGCAAAAACCTAAAAGAGTATTTTAACGTCAATTCTAAGAGTTTAACTTCACGCTTAATGATCAATTTTGCCCCTATTGATTTTAACCACGACGCTATGAACTGAGGAGACAGTCGATTTCAAAAAGACAAAGGTCTTCCAATGAACTAAGTAAACACTTTTAAAATAGTTTATTTTCCGTAAAGTACGCTTATAAAGCTAAAATCTCCATTGCCATCTCCTAAAGTGTTTTTACAGCGCCTTCTATTTATATACAGATGCGTGACTTTTTAAATTCGCGCGTTTCATTACAACAACATTGAGGTGACGTTCAAAACTTCAAGCATATGGTTCAGTAATGAGGGAGATAATTCAATTTTCAGCACAGCACACAGAAGATGAAAAACATCCGTGATGAACTTTATCAGTGCGATAAGAAAACCTGATTACATTTCTTCGGTGAGTTAGGTCAGTTGTGGGCTTGGTAAACTCGATCACGATCATTCGGCAAAAGGAAGACGAAAATAGACAGGACGCGACTTATCACTTGAAATCAACCTGATTTTCTCAGAACTGTTCTAATAAAATCACTAGAATATTGCCTGCACTTAATGTATTCGTGATTCTTATGATCGCTAATCGCTAATTGGCGTCAAAACATCATGTTTTGAGAATTTTTAATGAACGACCGAAGGAAAGAAAAATTTTAAACTGCTGTCAAAAAGTTAAAAAACGTTCGTTTACATTATGAATACTTTTAATTATTATTTTATCAAAAGTACGTTTTATTTATTAGTATTTTTTTTGAAAATAATTATGGTTAATTTGCATGCGATGCTTGCCTGTTCTATTTTCTTATTTTATGTAAATCTAAGTAAATGGATTATTTCAGTTTATTGATTTGGCAAGACTGACAGAAAATCGAAAATGTAATCACAATGCCTAACTTCTTCCACGACCTCCTCTCTTAGACGTTCGTAAGCGCTCGGAAATTTTCAGGAGCTGCCTGGACATGAAAAAGTTATAAATCAGTGCCTTGGAGAGTGTTAAAAATAGATCGAAGAGTACGGAATCTTCTCCATGCAATCACAAAATCCTTTCTTAAACTTACAACGACTGACAACAGGGCCGTTTATAAGAGGGAAGATAAGCTGCGGCTTACTCTGGCCATGGCTTACATAATTAAACAGGGGCGCCCAACGTCAATTTTCGGAAAATATCTGTTCGGAAGACGATTTGATATCTAGAATTTTCGGAACATTTTTTGTAAAATTTCTTGCTTGCCTACCTCTCTTAGGATTTTCGAACATCTAAAAATTGGTGTAATTGCCCATTTTAACGGATTTTTACCCTAAAAAGCTCACCTAGAATTTTCGGGAGCCTTTTTCTGGCTGAAATTTTCGAAAAGGTAAGTTTTGATCCCTATGATTTTCGGATCTCGAGACTTTCAGCTAAGAAATCCGAACAGATGAAAAATTTTTAGGTGATAAAAATATGCCTATACAGGGACCGCGGAGCAAGGTGAAAAGTGGGAGGGCTGACAATTGAAAATATTTTTTTCATATTGAAAATCGAAAAAGGAATAAAAGGAATAAAATCATAGTATTTGTATGTTTACTGGTCAAACTCAAACTCATCATTTTCACTGCAAGTAGTTGTTGTCTTTTCTGCAGAGCTTGCAGACTTTGACGAAGTCCCAGATAACTCTAATAAACGACCAACATACACGGTCAGTTCAGATTCAATGCAAGAAAAGACGGGATTACAATTTTAGTATAGAAAATACTACACTGACGTGATCTGAAAAATTTCTATCTATGGCCGTTCACTGTTCAAGTAATATAATTCTTCTTGCCATCGAATATTTCATTGATTCGAAGGGAGAAAGAAAAAATATAAAACTTTTATCAACTCAAAACAACTACTCACCTTCGTTTGGCTTGAAAAAGATAGTAATTTTCTTCATTTCGTCTGATAAAACTGATAAAAAACTCTGCCGGAGCTGGAAGTACAAAACACGCTGCCGAACGAAGCGAAGGGGTGGCCAAGGCATGGCGTTTAATCAAGGGGCAAGTCGGCCTAAGGGCACAATTCCTGAGAAAAGCACAGGAGCCCCACAAAATGCCTGGCGTTTGAAATTAAAGAAAATACAGAGAATATAGCGGAATATAGACGGAAAAAAACTTGTTTCAAGTCTTTTTTTTTAATTTAATTATTTTTCCTTTAGCACAAAAAGTGGGAGCAGGGGCGCAAAAAAGTGGTGGGGCCGCGGCCCTACCAGCCCCTCCCCCTCCGCGGTCCCTGCTATATCTACAGTTTAAATACTAAAATACGTTTAACAATGCTATGTTTAAGTGGTTTTGAACTATATTCTCGTTGGGTGCCCCTGATTAAACGCGAAAGGAACCATTTATACAAGTACGGCTTTCATAAGACGCAAAGTCGCAAACAGCTCATATAAATTGTTCACACACGGCTTAGTTCGCGGCCAGACCGGTTCAATAATGATGTAGTTTGTTTTGGTTCCTCGCGTAATTTACAGCAATGGCAATGGCTCAGAGCGAGCAAAAATCGAAACGATTGGCTTTGGTCTGGAAAATCACCATATTTTACATTATCTTTTTTGTTTCAAATTAACATCATACATTTCGAGATTGCTGTGTGGGGTTGTTGCGATACTTTTGCGGAAACCTCGAGGAAAAGTTCGTCAGTGATCAATAATCGAGTGGTTTGAAAGAGATGTTCCGGCGATGGATGAGGTGGGGTTGAGACGAAATTTCCGGCTCTCTTGAAGAGCTCTTGTGCAGCAGGTCATTTTCCCGCCACTGCAGCGCGAGTCTCTCGGCCGTGAAGCCTGGGATTAAAGGATATAATTGAAAACAGGGCATGCGCAGCACTCTTCCACGGCTTCAGCATCCAGCATTAAGCTTCAGCAAAGCTTCAGCAAGCCAAGCTGCAGACAACTTTTGAGTGCATTTAAAAGAACACTTCCACGTTCAAGGTAAGCCGCGGCTTGGATAAGCCCAGCCCAAAACTCCTCGGCCAGGATAAGCCGCGGTTTGAGCTGGCCACGGGTTGAATAAGCCGTGAACGTAGATTTTTTACCGTTTATACGGGTGGTTCGCATCTTATTTAATTAAGCCGCGGTCAGAGTAAGCCGCAGCTTATTTTCTCTCGTATAAACGACCTTATTAATAACTCGATGAAAACTCCCCTCATCTCGCCAACGATGATCGTTTTACTTATAACAGCAAGTAACTGAGCACCGGGAATGTCCCCTGACAAAAATGATTCTCAAAATAAACCGAAGCCTGAAAAAAAAAGGGAATTGATAAAGGAGGGCTCGGTCATCTAGACCCTGAGATGAGGGAGGGCAGTCTCCAAAAATTTTTTTTCGGCCCTTCGGGTCTCAATTTGGCCTACAAATAAGGGGGGCCCTGGGCACCTTCCCTGGATCCGCCACTGAACGATTCTCAGGCTTCAAGACCGGCAAGGGAACCACTTGGTAAACGAGCAAAAACATAGTCAAAGAATCAGACTGGTAGAAGGAACAGAAGGTGGAACACGAAACGCGTCCCGATATGCTAGCTTAATAAAGACGCTAAAAACGTTGTTGCCTTAACATGGGTGAACAGAAAATGAGCTGCCGATTGGACAACTGAAGAATCTTTTTTCTAGTATCTTGGGAGTTAGTTTGGCAGCAAAAAGAAAGTTTCGTGCTTTAACTTTATGACCGTTTAGTTGGCAAGATAGGATGAAGCCTCCGTTGGTTGCTAAAACAAATAAGTGGCGCGCACTGACAATATCCATTTTTCACGGGTCAAGGAGAAATCTCTCTTTATTTGTGATGTAATGAAACAAATTTATTAAATAAAGTTGACCAGTGATCATATAGAATATACCAGTATAAATATGAGGATACGGAGGTGCTACGTTTGAACTAGCACCTCAGGAACACAAGCTGAAAGTTTTGTGTACCAATAACTGTCTACAGGACGATATATATCAATTTTAAATTTGGACTGTGATTGTCTTTAAAATCGGCAAAGATATAGCGGGTATTAAAATTGCCTAGAAAATATCAACCAAGGTTAAGACGGTTTTTGGATACTTTACTCTATACATCATCAAATGACATACCTTGAAATTTTGAATATCCTGAGAAACATTTCTTGAGTTCAGAGGGTCGTGGTTTCGAAACCCATCTGGGGCTCAGATTTCTCCTGTGTCCTCTTATGGTCGATTCTTTACATCTTCCTTTATTTCCTTTATAATACTAATATCAGTGGCATAGGTCAGTTAGGCATTTGAGATGTTTATTTTGGTAGGCAGTCGCTATTTAAGTTTTGTTTCTGCCGAATATGTCAATCCCGAGATAATTATAGCGTTGTCAGATTTAAATCCACTTTCCTTGAAACTTACTTCGAATCTGGGAATTTGGTCATCACTGGCTTCAAAACCTAGTAAGATGGGATTGATTTGTACACTGGGTGCACAAGAACGTTTTGCAAACAGTCTAAATTAAAATGTAGTTATAAGAACCCCGGCTAGTTTTCATTGAGCTATACTCACTAAGGAAACACTAGGCAAAAATTACTTTTAGGTGATTTTTTAGTGAATTAGGTTTAATCATATGGTTCAAAAATTGGAAGTCGCAAACGAAAAAG